TTAAGACAATGAATCAGCAAAAGTCAGTTGAAAAGGCTTTTTATTAAGATCCAGCCTGATAAACTGATGCACGTTCTTATATTGGCTCTCAAGATCTCCACTCAATATAAACATTTTTAAAAAATTGAACTGGGGTAGAAAGTAGTCATGTGAATAAACTTTAGTGTAGCATCAAGGAAGAAGAATGCACCCTTGGTGTGCAGTCTCAAAGATCATTCAACATATGCACAAGAAAGTGCTTTGATTCCAAATGCGAATGGCATGCAGTCTAGTGGAATTAGTTAGCCCCTGGAAACACGCACTGACCTCTTTCTAATAGTTTCAACTAGACTATAACTCCAGAATATGCTTAGTGCCTTGAACAATACAGGTTTCCTTCGCTTTATGCAGGTTTCATATGTGCAAATTCACTCTTATGCAATGACCCTTTTTATACCAAAAATTTGTTATATGCGAGGTAAATTCACTCTTATGCGATTGGTGTGGTGCAGGCCTGCAGTCAGCTGCTTTATGCGGTGCATTGTGGGAGTGATGCACACCAAAATATATAGTCTCTTGTGTGGATCTGTGCCCCTCGCCCGTTGTCTGCAACACGTTTCTGTACTTGCCATCCCCATTATGGTAACATTCACCACCACCCTGTGCTTGTGTGTACTGTCTGCTGTTGGTGAGTACCAAAATTGCTTTGTAAAAGTGGTAGAAATGGGTCTAGGGGTCAATACAGTCGAGGTCTTGGAACATATCCCTATTTGTCACCTTGTAAAATGGGTTCCCTTTATGCGAATTTGAGTTGCATGCCATTTTCCAGGAACACATGTACAGCATAAAGCGAGGGAAAACTGTACCAGCAAGTAGTAGGGTAGGACCAAATGTTAAAGCTATCATGCATTTCAGTAAAGCAAAGGTGGGAATTGTCTGTATCATGATGGCCAAGTGGTCAGCTAAATGAAGAGACTTGTTTGCATAATATGTTTGATATAGAAGTTAAGGATAGTTCTGGCCAAGAGTTCATTTTGCAATTCCAGATTTTGTGTTAGAGCTCAATTTGTACATCCACCTGAGATTACTGAAATGTTATCTATTCAATTTCCTGGCATAGTTATAAAAGTTCAAGACTTAAAATGTTCTTATTCATCCCTGGTGTTCTTCCAGGTCATCAGAATTCAAAAATATTGAAAATGGGCTGGACGTTCAGAACCACAAAAATAGGTATTGAGAAGGATGAATTTAAGGCACTGCTATCTAAAATACTAGGTTAAAAAAATGTAATTTTTGTATTTGTATGCATAGCAATAATTTTTCTAGGGTGACATTTCTTAACGGTTGCCAAAGGACTTTGTTTTAGCATGTGCACGGGATAAAAGGAAAACCAACAAAGAGGTGAAAGGGGTGTAGAAAGGGGAGAGGTATTCAGAAGTGAGCAGACATTTTGTGGCTTTGTAATGACTGTAAAAGACGGACAGTGGTGGGCAACAACCAGTGAACTGAAAGTGTTGGAATAAGCATACTGGTGAACAGAATAGCATTCCTGAAATAAAATCACTCTCTCATTCCCCCCGTGTTATTTTACTAGGAATGTTGGTAAAATCGTCACCCCTCTCAATAGGTCTTTCAGGATTAGGCTTCACTTCTGTTTATTGTAGTTGCAGGCATGAGACTAAAAGATTAGTGAGGAAGGTGAGAATTATAATTACTGATTTCGTTAGCATAGCAATGTAGACTATCCAGTGTTCAGTGTCACACAGACCTTTGCATATTTTGTTTACACTTCCCTTTAGTTTTGAGCCTCAGTATTTAGCTCTAATCCGATGAGAAAACAATGGCTAAATCTGTCACACTGCAATTTACTTGTGGCTTGGGATCTTTCTGCTTGATTGCTGCTGAACAGGCTGTTTTTGTTATGGTGGAACTTTCCTGCTGTTCCACTAAATGCACCAGGTACCAGGAACAAATGGATTTGTATTACATTGTGCTTTATTATACTTGGCAGTGTGAACTAACTGATCAAGAAAGGGTGCTGTGAAATATCATACGTAGCTGGGAAAGAGGTTGTTGGAAAAGCTTTCTAAAAGTCCTAAAAAAAACTGGTTTACTACAAAAAGCTGTAGGGATTTCAAATCCACTGACCTGGTGCCAGGGTAGAGTGGTTCAACTGTAGAAACTCAACTTTTGCTGTATGTTGAAAGAACATAATTGACAGGCTGACCAGCTGTAGGCTGTGAAGCATGTTTGTACAATGTGATACCAGCTACTCCATGTATGTGGCAGTGGTTCTTTTGCTTGCAGGTCTTATTTTAGCCCGTTTAAATAGGCAAACCTGGCAGTGGCAAAATGCAATAGGAGTAATTAGCCAACTGGATTTGGCTTAGTTTAGGAAAACCTTCTCAAAGCCTGAACACCTGTTGACACTGGTATTATTATCCAATATTTCAAGCATTTCCTCTCTAAAGAAAAAGAATATGCCAAAACAACTGCGGTATTTTATTAGCTATCTTTATTCCCAGCGGTTGTGTTCAAAACAAATGTTTGTCAGCAAATTAACTAGACAGTGGGACTATAATGAAAGCGAGTGGGTGGGTACCATTTGCAGTCTGCAATCTCATTTTATATTCAGCACAACTGAGTGTATGTTTCTAGTCCAGCAGCTGCCTGGGAGTCTCTGCTATTAGATGAATTGTTCCCTTCTGATCATTTTTGTTTTTTAAAATAGTTTTATTTTTATCCTTGCCAAGACCTTTGAAGAGACAGTATAAGTTCCCTCTACTACACACACAAATATAAACTAAAAATAAGTTCCCTGGTTGTTGCTTGAACAATAACTTTGATTTATTTTTGGGTAAGGAATTCCAATGACTGATGATGATGATTCTGCTGGAGCTGTCACTTTAACTTGGAAAGGTTTTGCTATGTTTTTGAAGGAATGTCAGAGCACAATAAGATATTGGGATATCAAGGCCACCTTTCAACATTTCTAAATTTGAGGACTTACTGCACTTCCTTTTTTTAATTCTTGCTGTTTATTACCTGACTCCCTTTCCCCTGTTCTCTCAGATCAGTCATTTCATTCTCTTATCCTACTTCTATCTTTTGGGGACCTACTTTTGAGAAAATAAACAATATTTCTTTATAGTTTGACTATAACCAAAATATGTAGTATAGTAATACTAGCAAGTGATGCTTTATCAGTAATTACCTAAAGCTTCTAAAGCCTATAAAACAAAAAATTATAGTACTGCATATATTCCACTTCAAAATTTGAGAGTTTAAAAAGGTGATCAGTGGCTAAATTTGCATCCCAACTGAATGATCTGCCTTTTTCTTTACTATCTAGCATCAAGGTGCAAAATGTTCAGTACAGTATTTTAATTGGAGACTCCAGTACAGATTTCTAAAAACTGTTGATCATCCCTGATCCTTCTAAATACTAAGGAGGAAGACCTACTAGCATTCTCCCTCTAAAAAACAAAACAAAAAGCAAACATTTAGCCATGAATTTGAAACATCGTTGCCTTGAATGCATTACATAACTTTGCCCCTTCTCCTAGAGCACTGGCTCTCAACCAGAGTGCTGCTGCCTTGAGATCCTTTCAGGAGTGCCATGCAGTGTTAACATGTTAGCAGGGGTGGGCAAAATTCAGTCTGCGGGTCAGCTCTGGCCCACCAAGGCATTTTGTCCAGGTCCCAGCCGGTCCCTTGGCCACACCCAACCCAGGTGTGGGGGCAGCTTGGGCTTCGGTCTCACCATCCTCAAGTGTGCAGTAGGGCTGGGAGTGGCATGGTGGCCAGACTTACTTCCCAGCAGACCCCACAGTTGTGGCTCCTTCCAGCTGCCACTACCAGTCTCTGCTGCCAGCCTTGGCCCCATTGGACAGAGTGGGTGGGCAGGATCTCTAAGGAGATTAGCCTGGGACCCACACGGGCAGAGCATGCTTGGATAGGCAGGTGGGATATGGCTGTGGGCAGGCAGAGAGCAGCATCTGGGAGCAGGATGGGCAGGCGAGGCCAGGGCTGGGATTGGGATCACAGGGCAGTGACAGTGTGGGGCCAGGGCAGAGCCATGATCCAGTGCCTGCACAGCCCTATAATGGGCGCCATTTCCACTGACAGGGGCAAGCAGGGAGTGAATTGTGTCTCTACTCCATGCCCCAGCCCTGCAGTGTCATGGCCTTGTGATCCCAGCATTGTCCTGCCCTGTGTGCCCACCCATCCTGCTCCTGGATGCCATTTTCTGCCCACCCACAGCCCTATCCCATCTGCCCAGCCATGTGCCCTGCCTCCTTGAGTCTCAGCCACTCTGTAGAGACCCCAGGATTGCTGGGCAGTGATGGTACAGGGCTAGGACCTGATCCACTCCCTGCACTGCACGGTCCTCCCCACAGAACCAGCACCCATTGCAGGGGCATGTGGGGAATGGATTTCAGCTCTGCCCCAGGTCCCAGCCCTGCACTGTCACCACCCCACAATCCCAGCCCTAACTACCTGTCCCACTCCTGCATACTGCTCCCTGCCTGCCTGCCTGCAGTCCCATCCCATCTGTCCAGCCAAGTGTGGGGCAGAGCCACTTAAGGAGTTTTGGTGAGCTGTCATGGTGTTCTCCAGCCCAAATAATTGCCTACCCCTGATGTTAGGTGTGTAAACATGATTAACAAGCTAAATATAGAGATTTTAAATAGGTATCTGTAGTATTTTAAAGCATTTTGACTTGTTGTGGTCTTCCTGAGCTCTTTGCAAGAAAACAATTGCTCTATTTTTCTGTAGTAAAAAAATTGAGAGAGAACTAAGAGCTGATATTACTCTGAGGGGTGCCTTGCGTCTATAAAGATTGAGAGCCACTGCCCTAGACAACACTACAGCTAGCCAAATAGTAATAGAACAAGATTATAAGTAAAAATACAATCTGGCTATATTGGCATGTGTATTTTGTTTGTGTTTCTGGTGGGGTGGAAGACTTTGCAATGAAAACAGAGTGCTTGCTGTAACATGTTGTTCACTGACTTCAGGCCCAGGAGGATGCTGAGAAACTGCGTTCAGTTGTGATGCCAATGGAGAAGGAGATTGGAGCTTTAAAGGAGAAACTGATGGAAGCTGAAGAAAAAATAAAAGAACTGGAGGCTTCAAAGGTGAGACAAAATTTCAACTCTGCTGCTTGCACCATTGCTTGTTTCACTGATGGATGCAACTAGTGACAAACTTTGCAGCAGATACACAAATTGAGATATGGTATGAAGTGCTACACCACAACTTATCGTTGTTCTCGTACATGATACTTGTTCTGTACATACTAAGTGCGTTTGTCTTGAGGATATGGTTACATGCACAAACTATCCAGGCATAATCTAAATTATGTGAGCTTGGTATAACACCTGTAAAAATAAAGCACTAAACAGATGGGCATACTGTGTTTTGTCCCTTTCCATCAAGCTCAGATTGCACTAAGGGGCTTCTAAGTCCATGAAAGTTTTGCAGTTAAGCTTTTATAATCTAGAACTGGGACTTCCCCTTCATAGTTTATTTTGATTGTTAGTAGATCAGTCTGCTCATAAAACAAGGTATTAGGTCCAATTTGTTTGTCTTGCATTGACTCTTTTTAGCAGCACCTTTCAAACTTTGCTTAGAGTATAAATCAGTTCTCTAAAACTCCTACTTGCTCTCTCAGGCATGCCAGAAGATATGTTTAACCCAAATTTCTCTGTTGGGGAATGCATGGTTCTTGGCTGTAGCTGTGTTGGTCTAAGGATATAGGCAGGCAAGGTTCTTTGGGTAGATGTGATATCTTTTATTAGACCAACTAAATAGTTGGAAAAAAGTTCTTCTCAAGCTTTCGGGCACAAACATCCTTTTTCAGGCATTGAGAGACTCTGCTGTTGTTCTGAGTTCTCCAAGGTAGAAAAGAAGCCAAAAGTATTAGAAGAAGTCTGTGAAAATGTAAATAGGTGGAAATTTGGAGGACAGTAGGTAGAGCTAGGAGGGGAAGGGGGGAAATGTGTGAAGGTACCTGGTGAATCAGATGTCCCGCAGGTTGTAATAAATCCAATGTTTGTATTAAGTTCATGATTTTTTGTATCCAGTAGATTTATAAAGTTCAGAGGCTTGTCTACTAAAGGTGTTTTCGTAAGTTCCCTTTAAGGTTTTACATTTCTTGTCCTGGCATGGTCTGTCCAAGACAAGAAATGTAAAACCTGCCAACACATCTCTACCACTCCCACAATAACTATGCCCCTCAACAGAACCATCACCATTCCTGGATCTTACACTTGCACCTCCAGAAATGTAATAAATCTTGAATAACATCTGGAAAATTTGTCCTCTTATGAAGTTTATAATGATACAGAATAACTCTTGCCAAATGGCAACTCTTGGACTACTAATGCAGAAAGTCACAGTGTGTAACCTTGGGTCCAGACAACCTACAAGGTCATGAAAAGCAGCATCCAGTGACTCTGTGAAACTGCAGGATTGTGTTGTTGTATAACTCTGTTGTTTTGTTTGTTTTTAGTATCCTGTAGATACTAACATATAGTAGCAAAGAGATGTATTATATTATGAACGGGATGCATTATAACCCTTAAACCCAAGTGGTCCTTTCACTCCTGGCAGATTGCTAATGTGCTCTTGCAGTTCTGTGAATGTGATGTTGGAAGCTCCGGATCAGTTTTCCAGCTTCCTGCTTGTAGTTGTCAAAAATGATGTTACTGTGAAGCATTTAAATTGTTAACTGACATCTTGCCCTTACTATTTGACAAAAACTAGCAAGATTTTGTCAAAGAGTTATTAGAGTATTAGGTGTTAAAAGAGTATGTAACCAATACCTGTCTTTAGTGAGCTACTGTGAAGCATCCAGAATTCAGCAAATATCTGTGCAAAAGTTGCTATGATGATTTACTGGTAACTGTTGAATCTCCAAATATACAGAGATGTGGGTTTTCTGGAAAATTTTGAATTGGAAAATTTTCCAGCGCCCTAAATAGAGCGTGATCTGATTTAGCATGTTTGTTTACTAAATATAAGTCAAATAAAACTAAAAAAGTATCCCCATGTTAATTTTATGTCTCAATAGCCACAGGTATTTGAACTGAAATATTCGATTAGGAAAAAAATTATATATAGCACACTTAATGTGATTTAAATGTTATACTCAAACAAATTCAAAGTGTTATATGGAAAGAAATTATTTGTATTGG